GCCACATTGGAGCCGCCATTTTAAATTTTGAAAATCTAACTTTAGATTCGTAATCAGCGACCCAAAAAACCCCTAGATACCAAGTTTGAAGTAAATCCATCAATTTTTACAAAATTCGTCCGCCATATTGGAGCCGCCATTTTGAATTTTGAAAATCTAACTTCAAATTCGTCATCAGCGACCCAAAAAACCCCTAGATACCAATTTTGAAGTAAATCCATCAATTTTTTAAAAAAATAGCCTACCTCTCAAAATCCGACAGGTTTTTGGAGGTTAGAAAAAAATCCTGACGTTATGGAGCAAAACGGACTTCGGATTCGTGTTCAGCGCGTCAAAATACATAGGAAATGACTAGTCTGGTCTGCTACGCACGACACTTTTTTTTGTGGGGCTGTGTAACTTTCAATATTTTGTTTGGAAAATACATTTAAAAACAAAAATTTTGATATAAGATTGATCCAATTTGGTCAATTTTTAGCGAAATTACAAGCATTTCAAATTTGTTCGTTATCATATTTTGAAAGTCAATGAAAAACTGAAACTTTTTTGGTATCTTGAAAATTTAATATAGATGTAATTGAAATTAGGTGTATTTTTAAAAAACTGGAAAAAGTTAATTTTTAAAAATTCATAACTAAAAAATTTGAATACTTATAAAAAAGTAGAAAAATTCGTAAACCTTTTTTTCTATAAAGATCGAAAAAAATATATTTATCGTATTTAAAATATCATAGGTAAATCTCACGTGGAATCGCCCATATACCTATATATGTATAAAATTATTTAATTTAACAATATATGTTTTAATTTAATTCCTTTATAATTAATAATTTTATACTTACATATTTTTTGTGGTTGTTCAAAAGACATAATAACTGCCCCTTAACTGCATAATTACCCAATTTTTTTTAATATTATGATTAAACAAACTCTTTTAATGCGATTTTTGAATATATCGCATCTTTGGGCAGTAAGGTGTGACATCTGGCGTCTTTTCCTAGTAAATTATCTAGGGAATTTCTTATTTTGATAAAGTAAATATTAAATTTTTTTTCTTTTTGGAAATAGAATTTATGATTTGAGATTGTCAATTTAAAATAAAGGATGAAATAATATTCTTAAAAATATTTAAAAATCGATAAAATAAATAGTATTAAAATAATTGTATGTTTCCAATGATGAGTCATAAGTCGATAAATTATCATCTCTTATGATAATATATGAAATAGTAGCTTAATTCTTTATCTTGACGTTTAGAATAAGTTTAACGTGAATTTTATTATCTTGTGTGCAATTTGGTTTGCATATATAAAGGGGTATAATTATACAGTGAGAAGCAACCATTCATATCTGTATTGAAGTAACATAAAAGCAAAAAAATAATATTTATCACATATGTTATTTAAAAACAATTTTATAAAATTATTTTACGAGTTTTTTGCTTAAAAAGTTATGACATTTTAAAATTAACATTTTTATTTATGCGTCACGGTGGTCCTCCAATAGTTTCGACTATGACTTTCTTCCGCCACTAATTTTTTTTCATTTATATCAATTATAAAAAAAATTTTAGGAGTAAAAACATGAGGGCGAATTCTCATATAAAATTTAATTTCTTTGTTGCTTTAAAAATTCATTTACTATAAATTTTTTTTTAAAAATGTATTAAAATTTTCAATGAATTTTTTCATTTGCTCAAGCGATATTAGTTCGAAGCGAAATAACTTATTTAAAAAAATTTGGTTTGTTGATTTTTGTTAATTACAAAGACCTGTACAATCTAATTAAGTGACGAGAATGTGTTCGCCTCCGAAGGGGGCTGCCGGATTTTTTAGATAATATTAATATTATATAAATATAAATAATATATAAATATACGATTTGTAAAATATTAAATATATTTAAAGAAATAATTATACCTATTATTAATTTATTGATATAAATAATCTTGTTAAAAATATAATTGTTTAAGTTAAAATGTTTAAAGTAATATACATATAGTAAGAATTCGTCAACTTACATATATATTATGTGTTATTCTATTTTTTGCAACATGTCAAAGTTGTTTCTACTTTGTACTTTTTATATAAATAAATATTATTTTACACACTCATAAAAAATATATATACATGAGAAAATATAGGATAATAATTTTTCCTCAAAATCAATGATGTAACCAAGCAAAATGTGGCTTGAAACTCCCTATAGGTAATTGCTCGCGCCATGGTCTATTTGTTTAAACTTATATATATTACAAAAACTAATTCAGGAATCATCCTGTAACTTTACAAAAAACTTCCTTGTATAGTAATTAACAAATCTCTCATGGAATTTTTTTTATTTTTAAACTTCCTCGCAGACTTTTTGTTGGCGAAGGTAAGAAAACGCCGTAAGTGACATGTCTCTATTTGAAGAGCTCCACGGAATAAGGGCGCACTCACACCTCTGGCTGCCTGCGCAGGCAGCCAGTGAGAGCCAATCAAAGAGTCAGTAGATTTAAATTTGAATTTTCTGTCTCTCTTACTCTTGTACGTTCTCTGCGTGGTGGGAGGCTGCCTGTGCAGGCAGCCAGAGGTGTGAGTGCGCCCTAACGATCTATGGCACAATTGAAAAGCTTGGTTATGAGCTTTCAAAAAATATAAAAATTTTATAAATTAATAGCTGTAAGCGAATTATTGTAACTAAAAGAATTAATAATAGTTACCAAAAGTGTAATAAATAACTATTTACATATACATACTTATTACAAATTTCATGAAAATTTACGTTTTTTGAAAGCTCATAACCAAACTTTTCAATTGTGCCATAGATCGTTATTCCGTGGAGCTCTTCATTTATTAATAAAAATAATTAAACAATTGATGATTTTCAACTTTTTCATTGCATTGTCGCCTTTTATAGAGCTAAATATACGTGTATACCAAATTACAAAACAATTCGTTAATAATTGTTGAAGATACGACAATTTATGTTTTAAAATTGAATGAAATTTGTAAATAAAAATTTAACAGTATTTTGTCCTAATTAATTAAAATATTCATTCTACAAAAAAATGTCAAAAGAAAAAAAAATGCGCCTTCTTATTTCATATAAGATAGTGGTTTTCAAAATTAAAAAATTTTAATTTTTTTCCCATTTTCGTAACATTTGACTGTCTTCAAAGTGACTAACCGAGCGCTCGTCCCCTTATTGTATGGAGGCCCTCAATTCCGTATTCTATGTACCCTAAACGGAAACATGAATTTGTCGATTCACCTGAGCCAAGTGATTCAAGCGACTTTGATTTTGAACCCCAAAAAACAATATCTTTCGCACAATGTGAACTTAATATGACTTAATAGTCTTAATACAAGATTTAGATCTTACAAAGGAAAAATCGGAGTTGTTAATATCATGCCTGAAAGAACAGAATTTTGTGACTTCTAACGTTAAAGTAACTCATTATAGAACACGGCACGAGCGTTTTTCTAAGTACTATTTAAAAACAGAAGAAGTTTGTTTTTGCCATGACATAGACGGTTTGTTCAAAGAATTTGGAGAGCCATATGATCCAACTGAATGGCATTTATTCTTCGACCCTGTAAAAAAAAGTATTGGGAGGTACCGTTTTACGCATTGGGAGTATCAACCTGCGGTATTCGCGAAATACCGCATTGGGTATCACGTTGAATGCGTAAAGCCAAGAGTCCCAATGCGGCTAATATTTTAAGCTTTAAAAAAACGAAACAACGTTACAGTAATAATAAATAAATGTAAACTGTTAAAAATAAAAGTTAAAGAGTGAAACAATACTAATAGTGAGCGGAAATATTAAGTTTCAATGAAATAAGGTGAGGTGAAATGTCAAATACGAGTCCAATGCGGTATAGAGTCGGTACACAGAGCACGCAGCATAGCGGCGCTTTCTTTTTTATCGACACCGGGTTCCTTGTATACAGATGATAATTTTGAAAATAATGAAAATTTAAATTTAGTAACTTATTCTTTTTATTTTAAATATTATGAAATAAGAATTTTATTATAAAAGTGATAATAAAAAGTAAGTTTTTTGTAATTCCAAACAAACCACTCAGACATTTAAATATCAAGCGCGGTATTGAAAATCTGACAAGTTCACTTAAAACTTAAAAAAAACAAGAATAAAACCATATTATTGACCCAATTGTTTTCTTAAAATATGGACTTTTATTTGAGGGGCTGATAGTAAAAATGGTTTAAAATAACGGCAATTGGGAGCAAAAGTGGGATAAGTGACTTGGGAGCAAAAACGGGTTAAAATGATTCGTGTAATTTATTGATAAATTCATTATATTAACGATTAAAAAATATTAACAATAGGAAAAAATGCATATTTTATTATAATTAATATTTTTTAATCGATAATATAATGAATTTATCAATAAATTACACGAATCATTTTAACCCGTTTTTGCTCCCAAGTCACTTATCCCACTTTTGCTCCCAATGTTTTTTTAAACCATTTTTACTATCAGCCCCTCATTTTCATAACGAAATTTTTTGCAACATTGAAAACCTAATATTTATTATTTTTCATCAATTGGCAAGTTCTGATTTCGTCGCGCGAACGAGGGACACCATTGACATTCTGCCGGTAATTTTTCTGGCAAATTTTTCCAGAGTGTTTCTGGCGGCTGAAAATTGGAATTTCAACAAAACAAGTGGCCACAAAAACTAATTGACTAAAAGAACATTGATTTATAAATATAGTACTCCAAATTTTTGGGCAGGACAGAGAATTACAATTTTAATCACTCATTTAAAAATATATATATATATATATATATATGATAATTTATAATAATTACTGATAAAAAAACATATTTTTTCGTATTTTTAAATGTCTTGACCTTTAGGGACATAATGTATCACGTGGTCGTAACAAAACATACTTTCTATAAAACATGATTGGTGATAATCACGCTGGTAGTACTCTCAGGTGAAACCGGAAAAATACTTACCTACTTTATCGTTCACTTCACCTACAATCCATTGAGTCAGTGCAGTTGCTCTCAGCTAAGTGAATAGTGAGTTTCAAATACTTGCCGTGCTTAATATTCACGTGGTGAACACAAGTTTGATAATACGCGGTGCTTAAGTTTCATATTTCGCAAATTGCTTGACATATGGAAGTTAATTAAATTCATTTTACAAGCCAATATTCAGGTATTTTAAATAATATACAAATATTATTCCTGAAAACTATAAGTTTATTTATAAAAATTGAATGACCTACTAAAAAATTAAAACTTTTATTTGAAATAGTTGATAATTATAAAAAATTAAAAATAAAATTACTATCAATACTCTTTAAATTGATTTATTGTCTCGATTTAGCAAATTTAAACAAAAAAAAATATAAGTTACAGTTGTTTTGAAGTTTATCGCAGAGATATCAATGCCAAAATTCCATCAAATTAGAACAGGTTTTAAAATTGATTTTTATACACAATAATTTTTATTTATATTTCATCATGATAAAAAAGATTCTATTTTTTTAAAAGTTAAAAAATAAATTATTATTTATGAAACTTTCTTTAAATTTGAAACAATGACAAAAATGTAAATAAATACTTTTAAATAAACATTTTTTTCTCTCTTTTTTTAATATGTTTATATCAATTTAATTATAAATGATAAAATTGTTTTACAACACATATGTAGAAACCTTAAGCACCATTTAATAAGAATTATTTTATATTTTTAATTTCATCATATATTTATGACTGATATAAATATTTTTGCAAAACAAAACTTGTAAATGAAACGAAATTGACTCATGACAATTTAAAAATTAATTATTTGAAAAACAGTCTAAAATCGAGTTATACGTTTAGAATTTATTGTGTTTGAAATCCACCTGTTCGTTATTCAGATCACGTTCAGTTTGTATAGATATAGTTAACTACATACTGTACATTATATGGTCAGTGTCCGCACGTGGTTTACGAGTTGTTTTTTAACGTTAAACATTAAAATATTAAGAAAAAGGTGTAAAATTAAGATATAAAGAAATTTCAATAATTAATTTATTATATTACTATTATTTCTAGATTCAATTCATTTTTTCAATAATGTCAATGAGAAATAAAAAATAAAATTTATAGTTTAGTGATGTTGACACCACTTGTTATAGTCAATTTAAAATTGAGATATATATATATAATGCAGGAGCCTTCACAAAAGTCGAATAATTTTGTATCGCTTCGATGTTTCGAAATAATAGAAAATTATGAATAGAAAATTTTAATTTAATTTAAAGTCAAAAAAGAAAGTTAACAGATATTCTCTGTTTCGATTCATAAATAAAACGAAAGTAGAATTTAAAGCTAATTTGGTTTTGTAAACGAGACAAATGTATATGATTTCAAATTTATTTTAAACATCTAATGGCTACACCAAAATTTAAAATGCTGTCAAATATTATTTTCTACTAAAAATTAAATGTTTATATGTTTTTATATATCGCGCGTGAATCACGCGGCACGGAAATTTTGATATCCCAGGAATTTCCTTTGTAGTGTAAAAATTTCCCGCATTTTATCGGTATATTATTCCGTTAATTTTAAAAAATCCTATATAAATAAACTGCAAATTTAAGGTTTTAAGAAAAATGTATGTACAATGTATTCCACGACAAGTTAGAAGTCTATCTACAATCGAATATCCGATTTTTTTGAAACTTTTTTTTACAGTGAAATTTTGAATATTTTTCTTTCATGCAATTTTGCTCGAATTTAAAAAAATATTTTCAAGGTATGACGTCACTTAAATTCACCTGTTGGAAAATCAGTTAGTCCAAATTTATAATAAATAATATACCGTTGAAAAGGAAATTAAATTACCTTTCGAACCGTCGTTCGTTGAATAATATCCAATAAAAATTGACATACTTATATAGTTGATCAAAGTTCAAATTTCATGCAAATTTTGATGATTTTTAGATACTTGTCTATAACTTCTGCTAATTTTTTCTAATCCAAACAATAAAAAAATTTCAAGTTTTAAATTCTTTATTGATAGTCTATTAAATTACGAAAATTTTGAGTCCAATTAGAGCACAATCGGATGAAAAATAAAAATTCTACACTAGATTTATTAAACGAAACAATTTTTTCATTTTTAGTAACCTCACAAGTGATTTCGATCTAAATCTCTTTTGCATATTAAAAAATCCACTTCTTTGATAAAAATTTAAATATTTTTGATTATCATGTGACAACCGTGTACAAAATTATTCTACTTTGTAAAAAAATATATTTTGTGCAATAAATTAATACCAATTTCGTAATTATATAGAAATAAAAAAGTTTGCCATGAGATTTGCAGCAAAAATCTTGGTGCCCTGATTACGAAAATCATAGTGACAATACCCGAAAATTTGATTTTTATAGCAAAAACCATAAAAAAGTCCTAAATTTTGTGTTTTTTTTTCGTTTCTTGGGTAAAATATGCAAAATTTAGAAAAATGCATAAAATATAAGAAATGTATTACAATAAGATCTACAACTTTTATCTAAAAGTTTTTTTTAATTTTGGATATTTTACCCAATAAATGAAAAAATCCATAAATTTTAGGAGTTTTTTTTCGGGTAGTCACTATGATTTTCGTAATCAATGCACCAATATATATAGTATATATAAATAAATATACAAAATATAAAAAACCTACCTTCCAATTTTAAAAAATTCATATCTCGTAAACTGTTAGAAAATTGGAAAAATATCATGAAATCTAGTTTCAATTAGTACTAAAAGAAAAAAGTTTCAAAAAAATCAGATATTCAGTTGCAGATAGACTTCTATTAATTTGGTATGGAATACATCATATACACTGAAAAAAAATTTATTTAATTAAAATATTCGGTTACTTGACTATTATCAAATAAATATTTATTTGTATAAAATAATTATTATTTGAGTAAATTAAATGATATTTGTTTCAAATATAAAAATTATTCGTACTCTGGACAATCTGTAAATATGCTTATGTTGAATAAATTTTAGTAAATAATAAAAATATTTCTTTTGTTTATATAATATTGTTTTATTATTTTTAAAAAAGTTCAGCATTTTTTGCAAAGATGTGAGAAGCAAGGAGATTTTTTTTTCAATATTCCTTTTAAAATTATTACTGCTCTAATGTTAATTACTAAAAACTTGATTAAAAATATCTGAGATAAATAATTATTTACATATTCCATTTTTCTGTTTTTAAGACATAATCGGATAAGAGACTGTAAAAAGCTCAGTTTTTAAATTAATATTGCATAATATTAGAGATAGCGGAATAATTACTCACCCCTTGGTAATTCCGATCACCTCCCCCCTCTATATGACAAGTCATGACAAAATGTTATTATTATTATTTTCTGCAACATTAATAAATGATAAGATTTTTAAAACAGGAAATCAATCGTTTATTTAATATTGAATTTTATGGCAGTGAAGTTTTATGTTTAGTCTTGTGCTCATAAAGAAATTGCTGTGTTATTAAATTTATGAAGTCCGTGTAATATTGAAGTGCAAATTATTAATCGAGCGTAATTTTTATTTTTTATATTTATCATATATTTTTTACCGACCATGTGAGTGTTTTGAACTGTTCTCTAATAAACTATAACAGTATAATACTTCAGAAATATTTTTTTAAATCAGATAGCTACAATTTAGAATAAATTATAAATTTTAATTTTTAACAAAAAATACATGCATTTTTTAATGTTTTTTAAATATACGTAATATCGAAGAAAAATGTTGTTTTTTAGCTGAAAACTGCAAAACGTTTAAAATAGGTGGTCAATTATTTAACCCTTAACTGGCACAATGGGTCCAGTAGACCCAAGCATATTTTCGAGCTCAAATTAATTGAATGTGTAGCTTTTGGATATTCTTTTGAATATTTTGTTTGACACATTCTTAGTAATTTTGTAAGTTTTTGGATACAACTAATTCGATACAAAAGAATAAATTAGCATCAAATATTAATAATAATTATAAATTTTTAATTTTAACCTAAAAAGTCACATTTTATTCGTAATGGCGTGAAGTGTCGCGTACATAAAAAAAGCGGCAAATTTAATAATGCATCCTATTTAATGTCTATTTCAAACACAGAAGTAAGGCGGGTTGCATATACTAAAGTCTTAATAAATTTCAACCTTATATTTGAGTTGATTTATAGTCAAATATATAGTCTTACTGTTTGTGATCCCTTATCAGAATTTACAATAGGGATATTTCGTCGAGCTATATATTAATTTAAAATAAAGCAAAAAAATTCTTAAAATATGGATTATAAAGGGTTCTTTTACCATATCTTTAAAGCAAATATTTGAATGAAAACAAATGTCCAAACTGTGTTTTGAAAGTTCACTTGTCAAATAACCTATAACTTTGTTATTTTTCTTAATTAATTACAATATTATTGCAATTGTAAGAATAAATAAAATTTTTACAAAATGTAAAATACGCCCTAATAACACAAGATATCTTGGGATATATTGATAATATCCCGCAGATATCCTAGGGATGTCCTATGGATATCAAAAGGATCTCTTAAGGATAACCAAAAAATCGGCGGTTTGGATATCCTTTGGATATCCCATGGATATCTGAGGATATCTACAGGATATAAGATCATAAGATTTTTGTTTTTATTATATTATTATTCATTATATTAGCTTAACAATTTTAACCTTTAAAAATATATGTTAAGATATTAAATATCCCGTGAATATCCTAAGAATATCCCACGGACATCCTGAGGATATCCCATGGATATCCTGTGATATAATATCCAATAGATATTTTGTGGATGTCTTAGGGATATCCTGTGGATATCCTATGGATGTCCTGTTGATGTCCCACAGACCGGCGGTTTGGATATCCTAGGGATATCCTATGGATATCCTAAGATATCCTGGGGACCATTCTAGGATATTGACCATTGATATGGATATCCTATGGATATCCTAGATATCCTTTTTTTATGAGGGACTTACCATACACTTACAAATTTTCTTACCACTTTTTTATTTAAAAAATTTTTAAATTTTAAACTGTCACTTTGTTAATTTTTCCGATTATAAACGCGTTAATATAACTCTTTGAAAAAAAATTTATAAAATTCACAACATTTGAACAATATTAAAGTTATTAAAAAATTAATTTCAACGTAATGAACTACTTTCATTTTTATAAAATTAAAAATAATGCCTTTATTTCTTTTTGTTTTATTCATTCATATATTATAATTAACATTACTGACATTAGAGAGTTTTTAAAATCGTCCTTTCATGCATGAACCAAGGAATTAGATACAAATTCATTATCCAACATAGTGACCTAGAAATGAGAGAAGGATACAAAGAAAAAAATGGATACGGTAATTACATGATAAAAGGGGTGGATAAAAAATTGTTGAAATAAAAATAACAATTTAAATCAAAACTGTATTGGACTTAATTAATTGCATTACGTATAATAGCTTACAAGTGGAATACATTTTTTTATACTTTTTGAATATAACTTATATTTTCTTACAATATTTTCTTTGTGATGTACAAATTTAAATTAAATAAAATGGATACTTTCAACACACAAAATAAAATTTTAATTTGTTTTTTTTTAATTCACATTAAAAAAAGCAATATCATGTTTCTGCTGTAAGCTAAAATTATTAATAAATCAGTATTAATGAAATAATTTTTAATTATGTGAGAAAAACTAAAAAATAATTTAAAATAATTGAAACATTATTTTAACCCTTAACTGACACCATGGGTCAAGTAGACCCGAGAATTTTTTCTCGCTCAAAATAATTGAATGTGTAGCTTTTGAATAATTTTTATATTTTAATATATTAGTTTGACATATTCTTAGTAATTTTCTAAGTTTTTGGATACAACTAATATTCGATACAAAAGAATAAATTAGCTTCAAATATTAATAATTATAAATTTTTAATTTTAACCTAAAAAGTCACATTTTATTCTGCAAAATAAATACCTTTTTTGCAAGTCCTGCTTTTTAAGTAACAATATTAAAATTTAAATAACTCATGAATTTTTAAGTAAAAACACGCAATTTTTTGTTTTTAGATTTCACAGTTTTTTTTAACTCACTTAAAATAAATTAATCCCTGTAAAACTAATGGAATTTTAAAAAACACATCATAAGCTACATCAGATTAAATTTTTGTGCAAAAATATTCAATACTGTACAATACACGTTTGAATACGTCGGATCCAGCAGACCCGTTGTGCCATTTACGTTCGAAAGCAGAATTTTGTCAGTTAAGAGTTAAAAATCTATTATTGAGTGTAAATGTTAAAAATAAGTTTTAATTAAAAATTTAAATTAAAAAAAATATTATTTTTATATTTTTTTAGTCATACTGTACATCAATTTTACTGATATTTATTTCACTAAATTTGTTTAATCTGCTATGGCATAGTAATTTTTCGTTTATGTAACGACCTACTAGAATAGCATGCTGTTAAGTGTAATATATATATATTGACCTCGGTCAACCTATATAAGAATCTGAATTATCAACTTCCGACTGACCAATTTGTTAAAGTCAATTTTTACTAATGATCTATTTACACCAAGCTTCATTTTTACATTAGAAGAATAAACCATGATTGATAAAGTTTAAAAAAAATTTCATAATGTTTCTAAAAACTAGTAACGCAATTTTGTTAAACTAAAAAATTTTTTAAAGTAAACAATATTATACAAGAGACAAGATAATCCTTAAATAGCAAAAAGTTCGTCATAATTATAAAACAAGCACAAGGAAAGCAAATTCATCAGTTTTTTGGTTTCTCATAAGATTTCATAAGGATACCGATTTGTAAAATTCTAAAAATCCATTGCTTCGATAACGTGTTTTACCTATATTTTCAAAAAAAAAAAATGATAAAATAAATAAAAAAAAATTTTTATGGAGCAAACATTTTTTATGTTCTAAATTTAACCTACCTAATTAGTATAAACAAAATCGTATTCCATTAAGAAGAGGCACAATAGACCATTATATCTAATATATATTTTATAAATTTAAATACATTTCACATAAAGTTGCAGAATTAATCACTACTATTATGTTTTAAAAATATTAAAATCCTTTTTTAAATAACTTCTTTTCTGTTCGCACTTTTACGTAATATATAACAATTGGTCTGGTTGTTAAATCATCTAATGCACTATGTCCAATCATCCCACACGTTTTCCGCGGCTAAAGAAAAAGAAAAAACTACTTCACAATACATAGAAATCTTAAAAAACAGAAAATAACACTAATCGCTGTTTGCGAATATAAAGTAAGATTTAAAAAATTCAAAATGGCGGATTCAATATGTCCGACGACATTTTGAAACTCAAACGCAATTCGCTCGAAACTTGTTATTCGGGGGTTTTTATGGTCCTTAATTTGAAATATCAAAACTGATTTTCAAAATTCAAGTAAGATATTTTTAGTAAATTTTATAATACGTTATCCATTAAAATTCTTGAATTTTTTTAATATTGCCCAACATTTATTGTGGTAAAAGTTCAAAGGACGATGGAGTATTATCAAAATTTACTTCCTAGAAAAATAGTAGCTGCTTATCATCTTTACTTTCGTAATTATTTCACAAGTCCTAATTTGATCTTTCACTTCAAAAAAGTAGTTAAACAATCTTATAAGGGAAAATAATAATTTGGAGAAAATCTATCAATGTTTTAAAGAATCCTTCATATTAAATCCGTTATTTTAAATTTTAAAAGGTTTGATTTCAGATTCGTAATCAGCAACCCTAAAAACCTCTAGGTACCTAGTTTCATAAACAATACCGTTTTTTAATAAAAATTCTCCGCTTATTCGTTAGGATAGAAAACTCTGATCCCTAAATCCCAACAGTTTTGTTTGTCGGAATGTGTAATATAAAATCTGTTATTTTGCTTCATTTTGATTTAATAATTGTTATCGATTTTAAAAAATTAATATTTTAATAACATTCTATAAAGTAACAATAATAATAAATAATGTAAGATTTAGTTTTAAACAAAAGGAATGAGTCTCAAGGGCTTCTTCTTACATGCATTACTACTCTTATTTTTAGCATCTTCAGTTTTATTCATGCAATAAAAACAAGTTTTTCTATATGATATTTACAGTATTTTTATTATTATTATTTGCAATATCTCTGAATTTGTTATATAAAAATTATATAATATTTCTATTGTTCTCAATAAAAAGTTTAAATTCTTTATTGACTAAGCTTACATAAAATTTCTTTCACATTTCTTTTAGTACCACTAACATTTTATTTTCTCTATTTATTGTTATAATATGCATTTAAAAAATTTAAATGTAAATCTTAAAGATATGAAACATTACTTTAAGATTAAAAAAAAAAATTATTTAAAATAAATATAGGAGTACAGTTTTTAATTATATTACTCAACATCATTTGTTGTCTGTTTTTTATTAAACTTAATTGTGGAAATACGTAAATTATTTAAAGTAATAAATTATATGACTGTGGTTACATTATTAATTAGATTTGAAAAATATTTTTTACCTTAAATTGAAATTAATTTTTAACTAAATATTAATGAATTTAATTTAAAATTTAGATTTTTTAAAAATAATCTTCTTTTTATATTCATGAATTTACAATTTTATTAATAATAATATCCAATAATATTTCATAAAATTATTTACATATTTAAATACTTTCTTTTTTTTAACAGAATGGAGAGAAGAAAAGTTTCAGAAGTGAAGGAGACTGATTACGGCTCGTGAGTATAATCACCTTGATTTAATACTAAACAGCGATTATCTGGGACGCATGAATAAGCTCCAAAACAAATTTTTTATAATTATGATTTTATAAAATCTTATTCTGTAGACTCTATTGCTTTTCTAAAATACTGAATTGTTAAAATATTAATTTTGCAGAATTTCATTCTACCAATTATATCAATGTTGCAGAAATTTTATTTTGATAAAAATAAATTATTAGAAATTAAATTTTGATTGAATCTGAATTTGTATTAAACGTTGTTTTGTAGTATATTAATTTTATAGAATATTCATTTGTTTGTATATTACTGTCCTAGAAAATTCAAATCATCGAAAATCAATTTGACAGAAATAATTCGGAGCTAAGTTTAAATTTGATCTAGCAGAAATTATCAAGAAAATTGTGACTGCTAAATTTTAAACTTTGTTCCGAAATATTTTTTTAAAATTCATTTCCAAACATTTGCATTTTCTAGAACATTAATATTCAAACAAATTAATATTCAGCAAAAATTAAAATTTTTTCTAATCTTCTTTCTGCAAAATTAAGATTGTTTTTTGAATTAATGTTTAGCAAAATTAATATTTTGCTTGCGAACAAATTGAATTTCTGTCAAATTGATTTCCTCCTAAATAAAAATTTTGCAACATTGATAATCGCTTTAATGGAAATTGTACAAAACTAATATTCAAATAAATAAATATTAGACAAAATTAAAATTCTGTACAATTTATTTCTGGAAAAATTAAAATTCTTTTAAATTATTATACTATTTTGCAAAATTAATATTCTATGAAACGTTTCGTACAAATTGAGGTTCGATCAAATTTAATTTTTGGAAAATTAATCTTCGTCTATCACGGTGCGCCAGAAGGTGGTTTAAATAAAAATGAATTGGCACTTAAAAATTCTTTTTGATTATGATTCTTAGATGAATAACAAACATTTCTCAATAGTTTTTAAAATCAGTTTACGTGCCCGATTTAAATAAAATTGAGTTTTTATATAAAAACAGTGTTTTATGGGGAATCAGAATTTGTTTAATCTAATAAATACTGTAATAAATGATGAAATAATTACTTATTTTCAATTTTACATATAAATAATTATATTGCTGTAGTGTTTGTGTCTGATTTTAAAAAATTAAATTATAATGTTAAAAGAACGATTTTAAGAGTGACAAAATTTATTTAAGAGAGTCGAATGGTCTCTGAAATTTTTTAGCAAGAAAAGACCATTAATTATCGCTCTATAAAAACGGCACTAAACGTGAAAATGATAAACATTGATTTTAAAATACTTTCTTCTCGAAAGACGGACACTTTTTACAAAACCAGCTAGAGATCGTTATCTTATATAAATTTCCTAAATCCTAAAGATTATACGAATCCATACAAAAACACGATTGCAAAACGAAAAGTAATATAATGACAGGTACATTACCTCTTGCCGCCGTCAGATGGCAGCAGCATGCAGGGCGCACAAAGTCGCAGATGTTATTAGATTAGTTTTCTACTTTTTGTTTTGCAACCATGTTTTTGAATGGATTCGTATAATCTTTAGGATTTAGGAAATTTATATAAGATAACGATCTCTAGCTGGTTTTGTAAAAAGTGTCCGTCTTTCGAGAAGAAAGTATTTTAAAATCAATGTTTATCATTTTCACGTTTAGTGCCGTTTTTATAGAGCGATAATTAAAGGTCTTTTCTTGCTAAAAAATTTCAGAGACCATTCGACTCTCTTAAATAAATTTTGTCACTCTTAAAATCGTTCTTTAAACATTATATGATTTAATTTTTTTAACCTTTACTTGACACACTTTTTCTGAGTATCATACTTGACACATTGGGGTTTTTTGTACCCCATCGACAAAAATCATCATGAAAAATAAAATATTAAATATATCTACTTCAATTTTTTTTTACATATTCTTGAGAGGTGTCTTGTGAAAACTATATAAGTTATGTAGTAGAATATTTAAAGTAAGTATTTTTAAAAAATTGGAAAACGTGAGGTATTTCGAGAAAAATTGGTAAGAATGGAAAAACGTGGGGTATTTTGTACCCCAGTGTGTCAAACAAAGGTTAAATCGGACACAAACACTACAGCAATATAATTATTTATATGTAAATTGAAAATAAGTAATTATTTTATCATTCATTACAGTATTTATTAGATTAAATAAGTTCTGATTCTCCAAAAAAAACCCTGTTTTTATATAAAAACTCAATTTTATTCAAATCGGGCACGTAAACTGATTTTAAAAACTATTGAGAAATGTTTGTTATTCATCTAAGAATCATAATCAAAAAGAATTTTTAAGTGCCAATTCATTTTTACTTTAACCACCTTCTGGCGCACCGTGCTATATCTAATTTCTGAAAATTAATATTTTAATGATTAAATATTCATCAAAAGTATTATTCTACAGAATAAGATTCTATAAAATCATAATTGTGAAAAGTTGTTTCTAAGGGGGCACTCGCAGTTGTAGCGCTAAAAAATAGATATTTTTCATGAATTCTTTTCTTGTAAACCATTAATTTTTTTCAAAATATCGATTTATTATCTAAAAGTACATAATACAAACTTGAATGAAAAAAAAAGTTAAAAATATCAAATGGTTCTAAAGTTATGTCCTGTCGAAGTGACGTCCTTCCGAAAAACATGGTTTGCGGTGACCAACACTATGGAAATCTGGTTCGTCTGAAATAAAAAAATTAAAACTGTTTTACATTTATTAAAAGATTATCTAAAATTAATCCTTCGATTAAAGTTTAGTTTATTATGTATTGAAAAAGTATGTTAAATTTCAAGACAATCGGTTTATTAGTTTTCAAGTAAGAGTGGTCACCGACTTCAAAAATGCATTTTTGAAAAAAACTTGTTAAAACTTTAAAGTTTTAACTCACATTTACATGAAGATGAAATTTTTTTTGGAAATCAGATGGAATCATCAATTCCGGGTCCATATAATAGTTCTTCAGCAGATGAAGCTGCTTCCAAAATTCTAATTCAAATATAAAGGTATAAAGACCCACACGGCCGTTAAGGCGCTCGCACACCTCCGGCTGCTTGCGGTGTGACCGTACGATTACTTTCTTCTCGGACGACCTGACGCGCCTCCCTCTCAGCCTGTATATCTCATTCAATTTTAACCGGATCATCTTAAAATATTGTAGACATATTTCTGACTACATATACTTTAAGAATATGCAAAAAAAATCGATTTTTTGAAAGTTACAACTGCGAGTGCCTCCTTAAACTTATTTAACATCTCCAACGATTAGCTTACTTAAAAAACTGTTAGAAATATATATTATATCTAGATACTTAAGTGTTTTTCGTATTCCAAAATTTATAATTATTTATTCTTATTTTAGAGTACAGTTAAAGGAAGAAGAAGAGTCAACATGGTGTTTTTGGAGAAAGCGAAGATATATTGTTGCAGTGCTTGCATTTCTGGGTTTCTTTGTTTCGTACATATTACGTGTGAATTTAAGTGTTGCTATTGTGGCTATGACTGAAAATAGAACTATAAAAAATGATGATGGTGAAATTATTGGATACGTGAGTTTATTTTCTTCTGTGTTCATGAATTTTTTGTACTAAAAAATGGCAATTTACTTTAGTTATATAAAATATAATTTTTTACTTTTTACTAGCATCAAGAATTTGATTGGGATAGAAGGCTTCAAGGTCTCATCCTGAGTTCGTTTTTTTATGGATACATTAGTACTCAATTATTAGGTGGCTGGTTGGGAGCACGTGTTGGAGGAAAACGTGTATTTGGACTAGGAATTGCTGTTACTGCACTTTTTACCATAGTGACCCCACAAATAACAAGATCTAGCGTTTATTTACTTGTAGCCGTTAGAATAATTGAAGGAATTTTTGAGGTAAATACTTCTGTTAGTTAAAATTCGTCTGCAAAGATATTTAAACTAACAAGACGCAAAAAGACATCTTTGTCTATTACTAAGAGTATGATCTTATATTTTTTTACAGGGCGTTACTTACCCTTGCATTCATGCAGTATGGGCAAATTGGGCACCACCATTGGAAAGGTCAAAACTTGCTACATTAGCTTTTTCTGGCAGTTTTGTTGGAACTGTTTTTGCAATGCCTGTTTGCGGAATCATGGCAGAACGATTTGGTTGGGAAAGTATTTTCTATGTTTTTGGAGGAATTGGAATGATTTGGTTCGTTTGTTGGTGGATTATTGTTAAAGATAGACCTGAAGATGATCCCTTTATTTCTCAAGGGGAACTAACATATATCAAGCTTTCACTTGGCAACGTTGAACGAAGAGTAAATATTCAATTAATATTACTTAAAATTATATTGTAAAATTTAAATTAACTTTTACTGTTCTAAGGAATTTGTGTTAATTGACGAACATGTATGCTTATAATATTAATCAATTCGACACTCCTAGTGGATAAAATATTTATTTTCAAGCCAGTGGAATAAAATGCTAATTAAATCAAGCGTGCATTAAAAAGTTAGTTTAAAATAATGTAGTAGTCATAAATAGTCAAATCCTGTTCTTATAAAATCTAACTAAACTAACTTTTTAACGCACGATTTATTCTTTTGTGTTTGAATGTAGAAAATTGTCCATCCTTGGAAATCAATGCTGACATCTGCACCTGTTTGGGCTATTGTTTCTGCTCATTTTAGTGAAAATTGGGGATTTTATACCATGTTGACACAACTACCTACATACATGAATGGTAACTGCAAATAAAAATATTAGAATATTTCATGTATTATCAGTTTTATAATAAGCATTTAAAATTTATCAGATGTTTTAAAATACAAGTTGGAGAAAGCGGGATTTATGTCAGCTCTTCCATATTTAGTCATGGCAATTGTGCTTCAATTATCTGGCCACCTAGCAGATTATTTGAGATCTGAAAAGATTTTAACTACTACACAAGTAAGAAAAGCTGTGTTATCAAATTGTTTTATAATTCTTTTTAAGAATTTCAAATGTTTAAATTTCAAATACTAAATTAACAGAAATATTAAATGAATCTATTTTTCCTTGTTAGAGTTTGAAAGTAATTTTGAGTTAATTTAGAAAGAAAGCAAATGTGAGAAAATTTTTAATGATTACCACTTCTTATGTAAATTAAAATATTGACTTGAGAAATATCAAAAAAATATTAAATTTAATAACGAATTTAAATTAATAAAAAATAATATTTAAGGTACGAAAAACATTTAATTGTGGAGCATTTTTAAGTCAAACAATGTTTATGACTGCTGCGGCGTTTGTGACAAATCCTGTTGGAGCTGTTGCCTGTCTGACAATAGCTGTCGGACTTGGTGGGTTTGCTTGGTCAGGATTTAGGTATGAATAATGTCTTTATATTTATTACACTCAAAATATTTTCTCAAGTCTGGCGGCATTTAATTTAAAAATAAATAAATTATTTTGTTTTTCAGTGTTAACCATTTAGATATTGCTCCTCAGCACGCAAGCGTTCTAATGGGAATAGGCAATACAATTGCCACTTTGCCCGGTATCGTCAGTCCAATTATTACTGGATTTATTGTACAAGAGAAGGTATATATATAACCGTTTTTAACATTGAGAATCTTCTCAATTAAGTGTTTATATAAATAAGAAATAAAATCAAACCTATTGGATATCGAATCAATAGTAAAATAAATTGCTAATTTAATATATTTTGTTAGTTTTATTTATATTTACAGTTAGTAAATGTTAAATAATGTAAACGAAAAATTATTTTTGTTTCAGACTGCCTCGGAATGGAGAGTTGTATTTATTATCTCAGGATTAATTTATCTGATAGGAGCTACTATTTACGGAATTTTTGCTTCTGGTGAAAAACAACCTTGGGCCGATAACAGTAAGAAGGAAAAAGTTTCGGCTTATGAAAATACTGCTATGGAAATAGAAACTTTTTAACAATCAGAATTAAACATTTTCAATTCATCATCTTACTTTTCTCACTTTTCCACGTTTGTGTTCAATTAGATTTAGTCCTTATTTTTTATAATTGACAAAAATAATGTAAATGAAAAGTTAACAATTGTTTCTGTGATTCCGAGAATTATGTGTATGCAGGATAGATTTAGAAACCAATTAGGGTCAAGTTTAAATTCTCTTAATGTATAAAAATTTAAACAATTTACTGGAAATATTTATTTCTTATTTAAGGTTTGCTATAAGTTATTTAACACTCATACGGTAACTTCTAAAACTTATAATTTTGGAACACTGGGTTAGTGTAGCACAGTCCATTTTAGTTTTCATATATATATGGGATGAATCTGCACCGTTTACAAGTTATTTTAAAATAAAAGTTTGAAATCTCAGCAATTGAATGGCATAAATGAGAAAGCCAACAAAATTAATTTTGAAGTTTGATAGTAGTAGTTTAAGGGAAAAAAAACAAAAAATAAAATTGATGAAAAAAAGTACATCAAAGGTGGGAGGGAAGTCCGTGTATATGTGCGCTTACCCCGCTTATATAGAAATGAAGAGCAATTCAAAAACAGACTGCGTTAGACTAACACAATATACCTTCAGAGAATTAAAACTTCATGACAATAATATTTGTTATTTAAACTTAATAAGTTTAAAATTAAAAAAAAATAATTTGACAATCACGAAATCTTAAAATATATTTAAGAACTCGAACATTTTAAGAATAAAAAATTTTATCAAATTAAACTGCTTTATTGTTAATACAACTAGTATTTGTTTCTTTAATGCTAAACTTTTAAATTTAATTTTAAAGTAGTTCAAAGAGTATAGTACGAAACACTTTTGTCTAATATTTTCAACAGCGACAAATATTATTTCCAGCTCTTTTTAAAATTGACATGTTTACTCCCCCACAGCACCGAAATATTCTTTAAGATTTCATTTAAATATTCAGGAAAGTTTCACACTAAACATTTATTTAATCGGGACATTTAAATTTTTACACAATTTTCACTGAACTTTGCAATTAAATATTCCGAACATTTCAAATAAATCTTTAGGAAAGTTTTGGTGCTGTGGGGGCTGTATAGCTTCGTAATGCAGAGCGTTGATGTGCTTTATATAAATATTGAAATAATGGTAATTGCTAATTAGTATTTACAATAAATTCCGCACAAAATCGGTACGGTATAACTCATTATAATTAGTATTTAATAAGTGTATATAATACGATAGGTTATTTGTTAAGTGAGACTAAATATTACTAAATAGTATTAAATATTTTAATATATTGTTATTCAATAATGTTAAAAAGCTAATGAGAATACTGGTTCAACTGTGCGAAAAATAAAAAATAAAAGCACAAAAACAACTCACACCTATACCACTTTTAGGTGTTTTTATATCTTAAAAGTTATAAATGTTGAGCCGTTTGCATTAAAATTATCTTGTAATTTTTTAAATTATATTTTTACTACTTTCAGAAATGGATTAAGTTATTACAACTGCCTTAAAAAGTATTTTTTAAGCAGTAAATTGCCATAAAAAGTCTTTTTACGGCAGTTGGTCCAGAATTGACTTAAAAAATAAAACTTTATCCGAAAAAATCAAATAGTAAAATGTCACTTTTTCATGTCAGTGGCGAAAAAATTAATTCTTCGTATAAAGGTGTAATATACATTGTATGTGATATGCTAAGAAATAATTCTCGAATTCAAAATAATGTTGTAAAATGTTTTCGATTATTATATACGGATAAAAATAAGAAAAATAGCTGTAATTTCTTTCCCTAACAACCCGTCAAGAAAAAGTTAATTGACAAAAATTAAAACGTTCACAAATATCATACAATTGAGGACCCTGCTAAAAAAATCAGTTAAATTCCAGATAAAAACCGTACGGATGTTGCATTCTAAATGGTTCCATACGGAAATGTACCCGGCATTAGACACGGTTTTAATCCGGCTCTTACAAGAGAACATATTCTTTTGCTACCCGGATCTAACCGGCTTATACAAGGTTATTTAAAATAATTTTACATGATTTTAACCTGGTTTTATATGGAACACACAAGGATTTATCTGGCTTGAATATGGAAATTTATATATATTTCTACAAGGTACCTACCCTGTTCTATGAGGAAATGAATTAGGTTTTTGTCCCGGTTTCTTACATGGTTTCTACATGAATTTTAAAGGGTTTCCTAAATTTTTTGGGCAAAAAAATCGAATTTTTTTTTCATTTTTTGATAGGAAAGTATGTTAAGAATGTGTGGTTAAACCATTAGATCGCAATTCGCTCATAATCTTAAGTTATTTAACAAAATACATATATATATATGCGTCTGGAGATCGTATAATTAACCCTTTCGTGCCCACGATAAACCGAGCTAATGGATTTGCTTGAAATTCGTTACTCGGGGGTTATTGGGGTCTCTGATTACGAATTTAATGTCAGATTTTAAAAATTCAAAATGGCGGATCCTAGATGGCGGACAAATTTAAAAAATGCTTAGATTGGCTCAAAATTCTTACTTAAAGGGTTTATGGGGTTGCTGATTACGAATATGATGACAGAATTCGAAAATTCAAATATAAAAAAGGTTTTTTGGTTTGCTGATAATAAACCCGACATGGTCATGGACCCAGTACGGATAATTCATCATATTCATATCATTTCATCATTTTCGAGCAAATCCGATTAGTTTTAAAATTTTCGTCCGCCATATTGGATCCGCCATTTTGAATTTTTAAATTCTGACATCATATTCGTAATCAGCGACCCCAAAAACCCCCGAGTACCAAGTTTCGAGTAAATGCAATTGATTTTTAACTTTCATGTCCGCCATATTGGATCCGCCATTTTGAATTTTAAAAATCTGACATCATATTCGTAATCAGCGACCCCAAAATCCCTTGAGTAAGAATTTTCAAGCTGATTTAGTTACTTCTGCTTGACTCATTATAACCTTTTGATATCAAAACTTTAAACGCTTTTTTCTCAAAACACTATATTTAAAAATGGTAACCAGCAGAACTCAAAAACCGTTTGACCGATTTCAAAAATTCAAGTTGCATTCGATTCAGTGGAAGTTTTTGCAGGTCCTAAACCTCTAATATATTTAAAATATTCAATAATCAGGTTTTTGTGAGTGATTGATTGTCAAAAAATGGTGTTTTTTCAGTTTTTTGGGTTCCAAAGCTTGCCATTTTTTTAATTTTAGATTTTTTTTAATATCTCGAGGTTTAGGACCTGTATTAGGTCTTAAACTTTAAAATCACGTTTGATTTTTTTATTTTAGATGATTCTGCGATGAGCTACAGTGGTTACCGTAAAGGACCTTGATTTTGACCAGTGTACATAGCGACCTCTGTAGAAGGAGCATAATAATATTTTTTAAGATCGCAATTTTTTTTAAATAGTTCTTGACGTATATAGTAACATGTAAAAACTTTTGATCAATTATATTTTAAAACTTATTAGTACATGATCTTTTAAAAACCTTCTATTTTAGGGCAAAAAAATTTAGGAAACCCCTTAAATGAGAATATATTCAACTTTTACCTGGGCTTTACTAGGTTTATAACTGGTTTACCTGTAATTATACCTGATTTCTAATAGTTCTTATACGGAAACATACTAGGTTTTGGTCATGGTTTTTAGCATGATTTTATACAGTTCTTTAACGGAGAAAACTGGAAAGTACCTTCGGTTTCTACCCGGTCTCTATATGGTTCTATTATATGATTTCCATCCGGTCCTACCTGGAAACGTACCAGGTTTTGCTCACGGTTTTTAATACGGTTTTACATGGTCCTTAAATGGAAGAAGCTAAAAAAGGCCCACGGTCCCTACCCGATCTCTATCTGGTTCTATCATATGATTTCTATCCGGTTCTACCTGGAAACATTAGGTTTTGGTCACGGTTTTTAATACGGTTTTACACGGTTCTTAAATGTAAGGTACTAAGAAGGACCACGGTTACTACCTGGTCTCTATCTGGATATTTCATATGGTACTTATGAAATCAACCACAGCATGATCATTTATGATGCCTGAAATTTAAATAAACTATAGTGTTTATATCAATTAAATTATATTAAATTATAGTGTTTATATTAAATAATAAAAATTAAAATTTTTATTAAAGAAATATATCAGAAACATTGTTTTCGTTGTTTGATAAACGTTAGTAAATAGTAGGAATTATTTTCAACATTCTTAATTTTATTTCAGTTTAAAAGCTTTTGTGAAAAAAATTTTTGACTTGTAATTGCTCAAAAAGAAATATTTTCAATATAAACATTTTTTTAAATATTTTTTTTTTTGGAAACATCGTAATTTTTGTAATATTTGCAGTGATCCTTTCAGTATACCTAAGAGTTAATTAAAATAATATTTAACTGTTCAATAAATTTTAGAAAATGTAGAAAAAAGTTGTTTACAATGAAAACTTGTAATATTTTTTTAAAACAATTATAAAAGTGTTTTATTATTTTAAAAAATTATACATATATTTTTTACCCAAATAAACTATGTTTTTTTGTAATTAATTTTTTAAAAATGAAAAAATTATGATTCTTCTTCACTTGCAGTCTCACTGGAATTTGCCTCATTATCTTGATCGCTTCTATCACTTTCTTCATTGAGAGTCTCTTGATTTTCGATATCTTCCAAACTTTCTGCATCACTTTCCCCTTGAACTGTTTTATCATCTTCATTATTCTCCGCCTCTTTGTTAACTTCTTCCTTCTCTGCGCTGTGAACCTCAACTTTCTTCTTCTTACAATTTTCTCCAGTTCCTTTTTTTATCTTCTTTGTCCTTTTGGTAGATCTTGGTTTGCGATTTAATTCGGAAATAACTCGTCCTATGTAATCTGTAGAGTTCTTTAAATGTGATATGATATCATCCTCGTTTAATTTCAGCTTGTTTTTCATCCAATGTTCTGCCAGAACTGCAAGTAAACATATTTATTTTAATGACTACTAAATCAGAGTTGCCACAAAAATATATTTTTCAATTTTACTGACTTATAGCTACCATGTAAATAAGTATTGTTTAGGTAGGTTGTGACGTGGCACTTTTTATATAAACAAAACTATTAAAATTTCTTAAACAAATTTGAGTCCGAGTTGTTGCTGCTGTTGGTTGCAACTGAGATTTCCAGCTCAATGGTCATTAATGTTTGTTTTTTTTGAATTGTTTATAAACCCTCTATTATTCCCTTTCATGAACATAACTGCAAATTGTGCCCCGGACAACACGAGAAGCCAACCACTAATCCACCGCAGATTTTGAAATTCGCACTGTGAGGATTTGGAAATACTGGAAGAAATCAACTGCAACGTCAGAACGCATGCGCCACTCCGTCACATCCGTCCGCAACTAACAGGAAGATACCACCGTAGTTAACTCAGTATCGACTCTTTATTGGAAATCGACCAACCCTGGACTCAACCTCCACATGTTACCCGATAAAAGGATCCCTCGTCTCGGAAGTATGTCCGCTATTTATTAGTCTAAGTAGAATTCGAGGAAGCCATCCTAGAGGAATAATTAACAGGAGGCAATTCCACTGTCAATTCTCTATGGTATTAGAGACGCCCCTTGCCCAGGACCGTATAATCTCTGGCACATTGGCCATGTTTCCCTTTTTCCTTTTAATCACAATAATCAAATATATGTTGCCATGTCCCAGACCCAGATTATACGGAGGCTGACGACAGTGAAAATTAACAGCCCGGAAAACAAAGAAGAGTGAGTGTGAAATCACAAAAGGAGAACATACCACAGGTCACTATTCTCCACCTGTGATCACGTCACTCGTTGAGCGTAGGGATACAAGCTGGTCGTGCAAAGACACCGGGAAAATGTGCGGAGAGGGGCGAGCGAGCCTACGTCGCGGCAAAAGCCAAAGGATTCTCCCTCTTTTCTTCGCAAGCAGCCAAGCAGCAAGCAGTAGCTCGGAAGTTTGTGCGCCGAAAGTCTTTCTTTTCTATTCGTAGAAACAAATAAATTAAATAGTGAAAACGATCCAGCTCGATCCTGCCGAGAAGTCCTCGCGAGAGTATTTTCTCCTAAATAAAGTAAGTGCCTCTGACATATTCCCCAAAATTATATCATTTGTGATGTAATTTAAAACAGGTGGTTTGGCCGGCCTCGTGGTCGAGCGAGTGTTGTGAATCCTCTTTTTTTTGTGCGTAACAGTGCTCTTGTTTTCTTTTGAAGAATAATCAATGAAATAGCTTCATTGATTTTGATTATTTAATTCGAATTAGCAATTCTGTAATTCTCTGGTGTCGCTTTAAGTAGATGTCCCCTGTTTGGCTCTCACTCTCGCTCGACCACGCTGCTCGGATTTCTCAGTCAAGTAAGCTATTTTTTTATGTTAATATTACATTTCCTTTGTTTGTCCCCCTTATTATAGTGTGTTTTTTTTCCTTTTTGTGGATATGTCCCACTTTAACACAATTATAATAAAATATTCGTGAGTTTGTCCCACGAAATATTCATTTGTCACTCAATTCGATTATTGTCCTCGTGATGAACGACGAACAATCTCGTGGAATGTCCCACGAGAATACCCCAAATGTCCCACGAGAATGCCCCCAAACGTCCCTAAATGTCCCACACTGAAATTGTCTAAGACCCTGAAATCTTTTACCCTAGTGTGTATTATTGGCACCTTTCCCGCCCCATATTTGCTAAATAAGAACCCTATTGTGTAAATCTTCATATGAATTATGCGTATTTTTTTATTGTAAATTAGATATATTTTGTTTGTACACATTTTGACCATTTGACCTGGGAACTCGTTTTGTGAAGAAAGACGCCATTTCTGTTACTTAATTTAAAACTTTTGATTTTTTTTGTCTTTTGAAAATTGTGTAAAATTTGTTTAGTGTTGCGTCCCTGATGTCGCGGTTTTATTGTTGTAGACTTTCCTTGAAACGGCTCTTAGGGTTATTTTACATTCGTTTTATGTCGCGGTCAATACATTTTATTGTAATCAACTTTTATTGTAAATATTAATTTTGAAATCTCCTGAATAAATTGTCAATTAATTTATTTTATATTGAATGTGATTTTCTCGAACCCTGACCTTCTCCCTGAGTTACCAATACCTTTGTCGTTCACCTCACGCATTTCGTTTCTACCTTCAGTGTAATTTTATCGAAAATTAGTAAATTTTGGTATTTTATTTATTAATTAATTCAATTAACTTTTTATCGTTTCTATTAAGTTAAATTTCGATTCACTCTTGATTAATGTCTTGCTAGTTTTAGGGATTTAGTCCCAATTTAAATTAGAAGATTTGTCATAATGATTTGTTTCGCGATTATATTTTGTTTATATTTTGTCCCTAGAAAGGACTGGCGCCCAATCGTCTGGATATTTCGTTCTCTCTCGCCCTTCAGGGGAATTGAAATGCGTTGATACTTTTTGCTTTTCCTTTGAATCGGACTTCAAAGACTTTGGCGATTATTTTGTTCATTATAATCTGGATTGATATTATTTATCCTCAACACTATTTGTTTATAATATTTACATTGACTATTAATTGTTTATGTTTCTTTTTTTTTTGCCAATATTTGTCAAAAATTTATTGTTAATGACTTGTTCTGTTGTTATGATTATATATAAAAAAAAGTCCGGTTACAAGGTTAATATTTACCAAGAATTGCATTGAGTTTGTTAGCGTCCAAAGCGGGTTTTGCAACTGCATCTTTTACTGCATTACTTTTCTTCTCCGTCACACTTAAAGCTTTGAGAAAATTATCCGTAAAAACCAAACGCGATAAATTAGAAATAAATCTTTTAGGGTTTCTTGCCACAGAATACCGCATGCGGTCATAATCACGTGTTGGAACCCATTCTCCATCTGCTACATGAGTCTGTAATAAAGTTTTTAAAAATTAATTCCAAGTGAATTTGCAATATTTCATCATTTTAATTTTCAACATACCCTTGAAGAAATCACATCACGAAATTCTGGAGGAAGATTTTCTCCAGTTTCAATGATTTGCGTCAACGTTCGATTGGATGTTTCTCTGGATTCCTTAATTGATTCTGTTATAAATTTATGAACATATTTAATAATTTTATTATCACAATAATATAGTTGATGTTTGCGATCACTAAGAGTTAGACTTAATTATATAAATTTAAATTTAACCATAATTATGTTATCAACTGAATGAATATTTTATTAATAAAAATAAAACTTGAATCTAATTAATCAATATTATTAACTTCATAATTAAAATAACACTGGTTATATTACTCATTAAAATGTCCATTGTACAGGATTTTATATTTTAAGAACTTTTTATTTCCGTTAAATCATATGTAAACATATGGTAGATTTTACCAATTTAAAATTTAAGGTAAAACGATTTTGCAAACATTTAATTTATTATAGAAAATTTTTATAGAACAAATCTACATATTTGAATGGACACTCTGCCTCAAGAGATACATAGACTTGTTTGACCATTGCTTACAGAAAAATCAAAATGGAAGGCTTCAGAGTGGAGGAGCTGGTTGTTATTTTATTCGATTCCTTGCCTACAGGGCAATGCGTTCATGGACCTAAAGGCGTATATGAACAGATGGCAAAGAAGACTTTACAAGGCAATGTTTTTCAAAGCCTCATATCAGAATTAGATGCATCTCAAAGTGTAACTGCATTTTGTAAACAGTTATTTTCAAGACAAGAAGTTTCGTCATTTTGTCGCACCGAAGAGGTAGTTTTAATTGGGAAGGGTATACCCGATGAAAGCTACAATGATGCTTGGAAAACTAGAGAAGTTCTTACTTTTAAAAGGTGCATATTTTCAGGAATGGTTATTAATTCGACAAGATACGAAAGACCGACAAAAACCAATGATACAGTCTTTAGGCTCGATGATGGAAATTTCGTCCAAGTATTAAATTTATTGAAATGCAGTGATATCGCGTTTACAGAAGTTACTATGCTCAAAGTAAAAGAAGTTGTACTCTGTAATACCCCTAGCGGATGGGTTCAACGCGATTTGAACGGAATAGCGTTGAAACACCGTTGGGAACACAACGGTCACTAAAAATGTTATTTAAACAATAAAATATAATAAAGTATTTATTGGTATTTGTAGAAAAAGTGTTCATGAGTAATTTAAGACCTTATTTGTATCAATTTAATACGAAATAAGTGAAATAAAAGATAAAATATGGAACACTGTTATATCAGGGTTCTCTGTCAAATTTTTATATAATTCAATGAAAAGTGTTTTAGATATGATTTTTGAATAATAAAAAAAAACAGTGAAAAAGTATTAATTTATTATTTTAAAGCATTTGAAAGGGTAATAAATAGTGAAAATTAATGTGTTTATTGTGTACTATTTGTGTGTATAGAACAACGTTTTCCGACAGCAAGTTACTGGTTACATCGGTGAACGCTAGATGGCAGCACAGTAAACAATTAATAAGACTTTGACAAGAAAAATATTTAACCCACTGAACGTCGATGATGCATCCTAGACACAAATAAAAAAAAATGCTAAAGACTTATTGAATATTTTTAAAAAATGTTACTAGGGGGTTTACAAATTTGATATCAGATTTACAAAATTCAAAATACCAAATAAAATATAACGAATAGAAAAAAATTAAAACATAATCAAATTCTCCATCAACTTGTTACTCGGGGGTTTTTGGGTTCGCTGATTACGAATATAATAACAAATTCGATTATTGTTTAATTGTTTTGATCCGACATATTGGATCCGCCATTTTGATTTTTGGAAATCTGTTATTATATGCGTAATCAGCGACCGAAAAAACCCCCGAGTAACGTAGTTTTAGAGAATTTGTTTTAAGTTTAATTTTTTTGTTTCAAGATTTTGAATTTTCAAAATTTGTTATTATATTCGTAATCAGCGAACCTCAAAAACCCCCGAGTAGCAAGCTGATGGAGAATTTGATTATGTTTTAATTTTTTTCTATTTTGTTATATTTTATTTGCACGGAGGAATAGTAAGGAGACCGATCTTGCTGTAGTAGCGCTTCTGAAAATGTCAGAAAAACATGCACGATAAATGCCAGTTTCACTGCATTCTACTCAACCATCAAAAAACCTGAGCATACGCATTAGCCATGTGCTGTCTCTTTCTCTCGCAAAAAGTGTGCGAGTGAGATCTGGCTGACGTATATTTCTCAAGTCTTCCATGCGTGTTGTGATGAAGGGGTTATGTGTTATTGTTATGTTATTATTTTAATAATTATTATTAATGTTTTTTTATATACTTAAACATGATTTTGGAGATACAATATCGCAATGGTAAATAAAATTTCTAAAATAAATACTGAACACTAAGATTTTTTTTGTGACATATATGAGAGATTCTTTTTCAATCGCCCCAGCCCAAAAAGTCAATGTTCTGGGATTGGCTTCATACTTTGGTAAATTGTTGTCCTATATGATAGTAATAAATTCCTAAAATATAAACTCATTAAAAAAATATTTGTAGAAACTAGAGGGGGTTGAAGTTTTGACGTTAAGGGTAACATTGTCATTTTCAAATCCGTATAACTATGACAAAAGTTAATGGATTTTAATTTATCTGTAATGAATTTTAATGCATTTTTCACGTACTTCTCAAAAATTTATACAAAATTAAAAAAAAAAAATTTTTGACCCCTTTTTTTCAAAATCAACCCTTATTTTTCGATTTTCACCCCTTCGGGTATTTTTTTTTATTTTCATTGGAAAGCTGAGATTTTTTCCCATGAGCTGTGTAAATATGAAAATGGGACAATAATAATTTCGTCAGAAACAGAATATTAAAGTAGGCGGTGCCGATAAGGGGTATACCTAGAGATCATCTTCGAGGATTTAGGTAGGCACCGCCTAATTTAATATTATGTTTCTCACAAAATTATTATTGTCCCATTTTCATATTTACATAGCTCATGGGAAAAAACCTCAGCTTTCCAATGAAAATAAAAAAAAGGAAAAAAAAAATTCCCGAAGGGGTGAAAATCGAAAAATAAGGGTTGATTTTGAAAAAAAAGGGGTAAAATTTTTTTTTTTAAATTTTTGTAAACATTTTTGAAAAGTACGTAAAAAATGCATTAAAATTCATTATAGATAAATTAAAATCCATTAACTTTTGTCATAGTTATACGGATTTGAAAATGACAATGTTACCCTTAACGTCAAAACTTCAACCCCCTCTACTTTCTACAAATATTTTTTTAATGAGTTTATATTTTAGGGATTTATTACTATCATATAGGACAACAATTTACCAAAGTATGAAGCCAATCCCAGAACTTTGACTTTTTGGGCTGGGGCGATTGAAAAAGAATCTCTCATATGTATATCGCATAACCACACTTTTCATCTGTCAAAATTAAGGTCCAATGCGCATGCTCACTTACTTTGGCCAGTTGAGTACAATGTGATACCGGTCACTAAGGCTGTGCGTGACGAGCTCAAAGGAGGGGTGGGAGAGGTGATTTTAAGAAGGCAAAATTATTCCTCGTTAAAAAAAACGTGTTGGCCCTGAGAAGGGCCGATGTGAGAAACGTTCGGAAGGACCGAACGAATGGAAAGGTGAACCTAGTAGGGTTCGAAACGAAGGCGTCGGCATAAAGATGGTGAGGGCCTTGGTAGCGGTAACCGGGTGTTAGACGAAAATGATTCCGGTGCTACGCCAACCGGGATAAATAGTACGTCGGGCGAAAGTGCTGGCGATGCGAAGAGGGATGATGAGTGACGGGGTGTCGTGGGCAGCGGATCTGGTTTGCTCGGACTGGGCCCGAACAACTCTTGCAGTTCTTGGCTCCGATGGTTGACAGGAGAAGTAGAGGTCGGCGAAGAAGTTTTGCACACGGGAGGCGAGGATGCACGCACGACGTGTGAGCGAGCGGTTTCGCTGGTAGGAACGGCTGTAGGTGCGTAGACTGGCACCGGAAGTGTCAGCACGGTACGAGGGCGTCCCCCGAGCCTCGGACGTGGGTCCCTGGTCGAAGGGTCTCCGCGGACCAACCTGATGACAGCGGTTCCACATGTATGCGAAGTCGTATAGTCGTTGCGAGCCCCGTATCCCCACTGCGCCATCTACTCAATGCACTCCCCTCCGTGACGTCAGAAGGGGAGTGTATTGAGTAGATGGCGCAGTGGGGATACGGGGCTCGCAACGACTACACGACTTCGCATACATGTGGAACCGCTGTGAAGAAACTCGAAGATGGCGATTGCGGCAGAGGGCGATCCGGGTTGTACTCCAGAGCGGTCGTCAGGGCTGCGTTACGTTCCCGGGCAGCACGGCGTTGGGCTCGCACTCGGGCGGCCTTTCCTGGGCGGCGTCGTTTGACGCACGTGATGGTCTCAGTCACCAACGGTAGTTGTTTGCCAGAGCCGATCGGTGACGTCGATCTAAGAACCCAAGCAGGGACCAGAGATCGAGAACCCGTTCTTCTCCAAGTGTCGGGTATTCGAACCTAAGCAAGGTTCAGAACACTGTCCTTTGGAGACGGTTGGCTACTACCCGTTGAGCTGAGTAATCCTTACGTTTTTACGTTGAACAATAAATAGTCCTGAAAAGGACTGATTTTATGTATGTGTCCTGAAAAGGACAGATTTCCTACGTTCTTGCCCTGAAAAGGGCAGATTGTGTATAAGATGTAGTCGTTGTAGAAAGAAAACACAAAAATCTTAGTGGAGGAAACTCCTTTATTCCCAATCTTGAATGTGCCGGTGCACAGGCTGGCTGGTCGATGGCACGTAGACCTCTGGACCGGAGCGACGACAGAGGTTCAGAGGGAGAGTTCCGTACAACGTCCTTCCTCGAGATTCAGTGAACAAGTGAGAGCGAGTCAGGGAAATCTCGGAGTATTTATGCGCCTCTTCTGAGTTGCCTCCGCGACTTCCCCTTCCCATTTGGCGGGGACCAATCAGCGCGCGAGTTTCGTCCCCACCCGTTCGCGCCTGCGCGGTACGGTGAAAGCGACAAGAGCGAGAGGCAGTCGAGCGGGAGAGACTGAATAGAGCGGACGTACGAAAGAACCTCCCTACTAATGAAAAAAAACGCCGTGCCATGCAGAAGACCAGCCTACGCGCGGCTATGATACATTTTATTATTAAAAGATATATTATTTAGTGGTTAACTTATTGTAATATTAATGTTAAGTGAAAAAATTAAATACATAAGAAAAATTAACTTAGCTTAAAGAATAGGATTACAATAGTTAAAACAAAAATAGAAAAAATAAAAGTAGGAAAAGGTGCAATTGATTAATAAAGAACACGAAT